CACTTTCACCCTTTATCCTTTGATCCCTTTAGTTATAACAACTATATATACATCTTCCTTGAAAGTCTTCAATTTTTTGGTCTCAAGTTTCTATGGCAGAGAATTCCACAGGCTCATCACCCTCTAGGTGAAGAATTCCCTCTTCATGCATGTCCTAAAGGTCTACCCCTTATTGTTAAAGCCTTCTGGTCCAGAGATGTGGGCACTACCACTGTATCACAAAACCATAACTGTGGCTCATTTATGTTTGCTCAAAGCAACATACATTCATATACAAAGACACATTATCTGTCAACATAAGGAATATGTTTAACCTTTGTGTCCTCATTTTGTATCACTTGAAGTTTGGGAACTCAGAAGTCCCTAGTTGCTTTCCCCATGACAATGCTGCGGTTAATCAAAGTCAACTTGGCAACTAATCAGCACAGTTTTTCCCATATATAAACTGATGTGGTTTTTTGAAATTTAGCACTTTTGCAGTTGGCCTGATGAATATGAGACAAAAAGCATCAGCAAAAAAATCTCTCTTTTTCAGCAATATTCAAGTTCTGCACATCCAAGCAACTGGCTATTATGAAGCTGTTCCTTTTGAATAAGACTTCAGCTGAAGCATGGAGGAGTAAAGGTCAATGGCATTAACTACATTCTGCTCCTAACTTGACAAAGTAGTCTTCTCTATGAGATTGAACTGTGAAAAGCTGTAGTCATATCCATTATAAGGACATTGCATTTGATGCCTACACACACGTACATTACAACAGAAGCTATGGGATTTAACGGGAATGTAAACAGCTGATTTCATCCCCTTTAGCCAATAGCACTAAAGTCAACTGTACTATCTATTCTGTCACCTAAGATTATGTAACAATACAAAAGGTAACTCAAAACTGACACCACCTTCTGGCTCAATTCTACTTATGAACAACACGAGGTTCCAGCAGAAAAGTTGGCCATTTAACCCAGTTTTTCCATGCCGACTGTTTCCTCTGGGCAATTCTGAAAAACCATCATTTGAGCCAAAAGCTATTGAGCACTTGAAGATGCATGGATAGTGAGAAACAATCAGTGGAGATTCGTTTCAAGGGTAAGTCATGTTTTACCAAGTGAATAAAGTTCTTAGAACCTGTGTCCAAACAGATAAATAAAGGAACGCAGTCACTGTGGTTTATTTGATCTTTCAATAGCATTTGATACGTGCTTTATAGGATGTTTATTGCAAAAATTCAGGCATGTAGTGCAAAAGAAAGCTACAAGTAAGAAATGCAAATAATACTAACTTGGTATTGGTTTGCAAACAGAAAGCAATGAGTTAAGGTTGCAATAATGATTTATAGTACTTTTTTGTATTATTTGGGAACTTGAATTACCGAATAATTACGAATTACCAAGATCCAAGTTGGTGGTGTTGGCAAGGTAGGCAATGTTTGGGCTCCTGAGCCCGTCCACTCCAGGCAGCCACTTCCTCCCTTCTTTCCTTACTCTTTTATCTTCTTTCTTTTTCTTTTACTTCGTCTTCTTCCTGTCGGTGGCGATGGAGGGGTTGACATCGCAGAGGGAGTGGCAGGAGCAGGATTCTTGGCAAGCGGGACTCCTGGTTGTATTGGGCCCGGAGCGAGGACTCCAGGCACCAGCAAGGTGGCAGCTCCAGCAGAGTCAGGGACTTCTGGTTGTAGTGGCCCGGAGCGGAGACCCTAGGCTTTGGTGAGGCGATGGCAGTGTGGTGTGCCTGGAGTAGGGGCTCCAGACATTGGCAAGGCAGAAGCAGCAGCGGAGCCAGAGACTACTGGTCATGGTAGGCCCGGAGTGGAGACTCCTGGTTGTAGATGAGGTGGCGACTGCAGTGGAGTCGGGAGGCGCCTGTTTGCAGGACGAGTGTGGGTCCTGCAGGGTCCTGGCAATCCATCAGCAGGGTGGGCCCAGCAATGACGAGAAGACGTCGGAAAAGTGGTAACCTCCGACATTGGCGGGTACGGCACAAGTGGCAGCGCAGATGTTATTGGTCGGCCAGCTCAGGGCTCGGGACTCATGGTGAAGGCAGCGATGCGAAGATGGGCTTTCTTTCAGCTTTGCCTTTTTATTCTTGAAGTATTCGAATGGTGTCAAGTTGTGGCGACAGCTGAAGTTTTTCCACTGTATTTTATTGTGTTGTTAATTGTAGAGTACAATTGACAATAAATCATCATCATTCATTCAAATTATCATATATGTTTTATTGTTTTCTTTTGTGCAATAAACATTTTTTTTGTCAGCAATACACTGGAAGTACTGTGTGAATATTTTGTTTTATTCATTCATAGGATGTGGCTGTGCTAGCTGGATCAACATTTATTAGCCATCCCTAATTGCCCTTGACAAAGTGGGTGAGCTGACTTTGTACTCCATTTGCTGTAGGTATACTAATACTGGTGTTAGGGAGGGATCTCTAGAATCTTGATGCAGCAACATTGAAAGAATGGCTATATATTTCCAAATCAGGATAGTGAGTGGCCTGGAGGGGAACTTGAAGGTGGTGGTATTCATTCCCATGTATTTGCTGCCTTTGTCCTTCTGGATGGTCATGATCATGGATTTGGAAGGTGCTGTATAAGAAGCCTTGGTGAATTTCTGCAGAGCATCTGGTAGATGGATACACATGCTATTACTGAGCACTGGAGAGACTGAATTTGATGTAGTACAGTCAAGTGGACTGCTTTGTCCTGGACGGTGTCAAGCTTCTTGAGTGTTGTTGGAGCTGCACGTGTCCAAGCAAGTGGGGAGCATTTCAACACAGAAACATAGAAAATAGGAACAGGAGTAGGCTATTCAACCCTTCAAAACCTGCTCTGCCATTCAATATGACCATGGCTGATCATCCAACTCAGTACCTTGTTCCCATTTTCTCCCCATACCTTTTGATCCCTTTAGCCCCAAGGACTATATCTAATTCCTTCTTGAATACATTCAATGTTTTAGCCCCAACCACTTTCTGTAGCAAAGTATTCCATAAGCTCACCACTCACTTGTTATCTTCTCATCTCAGTTCTAAATGACCTACCCAGTATCCTTAAATTGCAATACTCTCCATTTGCCCAGATGAGTGCAATTTCATCAATATGCATGATGTTCCACTCTATTCAGGATGATGCCGCCCATTTGACTGTAATCCCATCCAACATCTTAACCCTGAGTGCCTGAACCCATTCAATGCGATTGCAATGGGACCACCTAAAAGTAATAAAAGCATGGAGGTTATGTTGGAGCTGTACAAACCTTTGCCTAGGCCACAGCTGGAGTACTGTGTGCAGTTCTGGTCACCACACTATTGGAAGGATGTGATTGCACTGGAGGGATTGCAGAGGAGATACACCAGGATGTGGCCTGGGTTGAAGAAGTTCAACTATGAAGAGGGCTGAATCAGCTCACTTGTTTTCTTTAGAGCACAGTAGACTGAACTGGGACCAGAATGAGGTGTATAAGATTATGCGGGGCATGGACAGGGTGAACAGGAAGCAGCTGTTCCACATAGTTAAAGGGTGAATAACAAGGAGACATAATTTTAAGATGAAGGACGGGTGGTTTAGAAGGGATTTGAGGAAAACCTTTTCTTAAAATCCAGAGTTAGGTAGGAATCTGGACTGTACTGCCAGGCAGGGCAGTAGAGGCAGGAAACCTTACAATCTTTACAAGGTATGTGGATTAGCACTTGAAGTGTCATAACATTCAAGGTAATGGGCAAAGTGCCGGAAAGTGAGATTACTGCTGATAAGTCAGTTCAGACTCGATGGGCCAAAGAGCCTTTTCTGTGCTGTATGACTATGTAACAACTTGCTGAACATTCTTGGACAACACTTTGCAAGCTTCTAAAAGCTACTGTCTAGGAGAACAAAAAGACTGGGCTAAAGAGAACGTCATCACCTGGAAGAGCCCCTAGCACCAAGTTTCACACCCTGCTGATTTGGAATCATGTTGTTGCTCCATCATAGACGCGAGGTCAAAATTTTGGAACGCCTTTCTTAACAGTCAGTATTTTCACTAAACAGGCCACGATGACTCACCACCATCATCTCAAGATACCAAATCAGAATTGGCACCAAATGCTGACCATACCAATGCATCCATATCACATGAATGATTGAAAAAAAAAGCTAAAACCACTTCCATTCTTGAGGTTAGAGTTGGCCGTAAAAATCAAATTATAGAAATTTGCCAGAGACACCATTTGACAAACAGCAGGATGGACTGCAAAATATATCAGGAAACATATCAATTCCATTCTCCCATTTCCTCAGTCTCCATTGCATCTGTTCAGAAAGCGCGATCTTCCCTACTAGTGTTTCTGATGGTGCCTTCCCCTTTCCACCAATTCCAACATATTACATAGCTTTGAATATAATCTGAAGATGAATTCAATAAAAGATTCCAATATTCAACTGATACTCATTTTCATTCAGAACCGCATGATAATTTAAGTTCCTAATTTAACCACCTATTGCATCATTCACAATTAATTCACTTATACAATGCAGAACTGTGAATTTTATTTGTCCTTTAATTTTTTTAAAAAACATCAATTTTTAACTCTGATTTAAGTTGGAGAAACACAATCATTCCCAAAGTGTGAGCTGTGAAAAAAAGGCATGCAAGAGAAGCAAAGAGGAAGCATTTTGCGGAGTTCAGTCATTCTGATGGAACGCACCCAGTCAGGTTTTCTCAAAGTTTAAAGTAACTCCGATTGGTGATTGAGGATCTTAACGCAATGCATTGTTTAGCCCATGGGGCTCTGTGACTCCCTTGTGAAATTGTGTTTAAGGACAGATGTCTTTATATGGTGATGATTTATGGAGCATTTAGAAAAAAAACACCAAAATCCCAGCAGAGTTCCAAGAGTAGCTACAAGAAATGGAAGAAAAACATTGAGTAGCCCAATGGACTAAACATTCAACTTTAATAGCAAAGGTTTGCTTAAAATATATATAACCTCTCTAGGCGAGTGCTCTGCAACAGCACTTTGCTTTTCAATTTACGGTGCTTCCTTGAGAACTTAGAAAGAAATGAGGCGAGAAGTGTGTTTAAAGGGGTCCCCTCCAGAAAAGAGACATAAACATCGTGTCCAGGTCGGCACACATTTGATTTGGTTATGCCATACCAAGTTCTGAAACTGTGTACTTTAAATACTTCAGCTCTGACCTTCACTACATGCAGTCAGTTTCTCCCAGTAACTAAGCCAGGACAAGCATTTCAGGGCAGAGGTCAAACACAGTTCACAGTCTTGATGTCAATAGGCATAATCAAAAAAAGAGTAAACATCAAATTTTAAGGATGACTTTCGGTGAGCAGGGGACACGGAATTCTCTTTTAACTAAAAGAGACATTAGCTATATGCATTGCATAAAATAGTACAGATCTCTTGCCATGCATACATATTTTAATGTAATTAAAAGCCCTTTTTTCCTTCTCTTTCCTCTGGCTTATAAAAAGATTGGCTGTGTGCTGCCATGGCCCCAGTGTTCCCCTTTAGAACTGGTCACCTGGGGTGGTTTTCTCTTGTATACTCTTTGATTAATGTCTAGTTTCTACTGCATTCCTCCATACCATATCATGGATCTTTAAAGGGACCGGGAGAAATTAAATCTGCATTTCACATCATTGAAATTTCTTTCTACAAAATGCTTTTTGCTTACTTAATAAAGGTCGCATTAAAATGATAAACTTAAGAAACTTAAATCTATAAAAATTAAAAAAAACTTAAAATATATTTTCTGGACGTTGCAGCTTTAAAAAGGCAGCTCCCTTGACATTTTGGATCACATTGATTGCAGTTGTTTTAGTTTGGTGCTGTTCAAACCTGTTCTTGGATAAGAAATTATTTATGTATAACATCATACATGATCTACTTACAAATAAACAAGTCACACATACTCACTATTGACTGCTCGGCAGGATTTCAAGCACATACCTTTATTGAGTTAAAGAAGAGTGTAGGGTGATTGCAGAGTTTTTTCAGTAACCCTATGCATATTAGGTGGGAGCTGTTCTCCAAACTTCCCTGCAGGCAAGATTTCACTGCTTGGGATGCCAGCAGTTTCTGATAAAGTTCAAGCTGCAGTACAGCTGGGCGGCAGAAGACAATCCATTCAGTCTTCGGAGGGAGGTAATTGTTAATGATGTCCTGTGTCCGTCGAAGTATAAAGAATCCAGTTAATCGGCAGAGCTCAGTTGCTCTCTCTTCACCCAACTGCTTTTCATCCTAAAGACAAAAAGAAATGGCAAAACAGCTAAAGCTGGAATGTTGAGATGCAGAGGAAAGAATTCCTGAATTGATGGTTTTCAAACAAGACTGCATTGTTTATTCTTCAGCTTTTCAGACCTAGCTATATGTAGTTTTGACCAAGAATCTGAATAGCAGTATATGTTAAACTTGTTAGCTTGCTGAAAATGTCTTCAAACAAAAAAAACACATTTTGTGATGTTCTTAAATGGTCAATTTGAAACCCAACTTAAAACAAACAGATTTAATTATATCAATTGAAAGTTCGACAATTGAAAGTTCATGCTTTATTTGCAATGTGTCCTTCCTTTCTGTGAACAAAAAGCCTGTGCAGACTGCCTACCAAAGCTAGTCTGAAACCGACTGCTTGAAAAGTATACGTGGGTAGTCAATAAGGAAGGACTGGGTGCATACACCTGATGGCACACTAAAATCTGGAACTGGAAATGAAGACAATGTTCCTTCTAACTACTTTTGCTGCTGTAAAGAAAATTTGAACAAATCTTGTCAGTTAACTGTCAGCCAAATTAACTTGTTCATTCTCCACTAACCAGAGTGCACTTGCCAACCAATCAATCAGTACTCTCCTCTCATACAATACAAATGTTGTTTTCCCTGTACATTTGTACTTCTTGCAAGTTGCCCTGATGAGTGCAAGATGAAAGCCTTTGTCAAAACGTGCAGAATCTGAAGCTGGAATGATCAGGTCAATTGGAAAAATTGAGTGAGATTGGCAGAAATGGCATTCTTAATGTTGTGAAGAAAAAGTCTAATTCTAATGTTGAATAGTAATATTAGAATCTCAATCGTAAGTAGCGAGGGGCTTATTTGCATCCATTTAAGTGTATTATCATTCCATTATTATCTAATCTCACCTTGATTTATTTGATTATTTATATACTGTCACGTGTATTTATTACAAATACAGTGAAAAGTATTATTTAGTGTTGCTAATCTCTGGTGCCATCTTAAAACACAGAAAATAAACAAACCAAAACACAGAATATACAGCTAGAAAAATAAATCATAGAATCCCTACAGTGTGGAAGCATACTTTTTAGCCCATCAAATCCACACTGACCCTCCAAAGAACATCCCACCCATCCCTGTAAACCTTCATTGCCATGGCTAATCCACCTAGCCTCCATATCTCTGGACACCAAGGGCAATTTAGCATGGCCATTCCACTTAACCGTGGGCATCTTTGGACAGTGGGAGGTAATAGGAGCACTGAATGAGGCGGGTGGTGTAAACAGTCGGTGGAGATTGAACCCAAAGAGATTACAGAGGTGGAGCAGACAAAGGAATGGATAATTGAGCGCCAGGGAGAGCGAAAAGCTGCTAATTGGAAACCATTAATGGATGAAAAATCACAGATGCTGCCAGACTTGCTGAGCTTTTCCAGCATCTTTGTTTTTGTTCCTCATTTACAGCATCCGCAGTTCTTTCGGTTTTTTTTAATGGGTGAAAATAGGTTGGCTGTGGCGAAAAGCAGCCTATGTAATGACAATGCCTAGAGTATGGGGTGAGGGGAGGACGTTGAAGAAGGTGCTCAGACTCTAAAATTATTGAACACGATATTGAGTCCTGAAGGCTGTGGGGTCCACAAGCAAGAAGTCCAATGTTGTAATATGATATAATTCTTCATTAAGATGAAGACTGAGGTAGTTGATTCTGAGACTAGGGTCCTAAATATTAATAAGGGGAACTTCAATGGTAGGAGTTGGCTACAATGGATTGGGGAATGTCACATGTTAAAGAAATGACAGTGGAGAGGTAATGACAAAGATTCAAAGAGCGAAAGGGTGAACTATAAGAATTGTTTATTCCTGTCTGGTGCAAAGAGAACAGCAGCCAAACAGTGGCTTACAAGGGAAGGTAGGGACTGTATTAGATGCAAATAAAAAAAGAGAGGAATGCAATTTGGCAAGAAAAAGAACGATAGAGCTGAGGATTATGTACAATTTAGAAAACAGCAAAGGAGGACCAAGAGATTGATTAAGAAGTGGGGGGGGGAGCAGTTATTGTAAAAGTTTTTATTCTATACCTATGTAAAGAGAAAAAGGCTGGTGAAAAGATTGGTGATAGGTCCCTTAGAGTCAAAAATGGGGGAATTTATAATGGGGAACAAAGAAATGGTTCACAAGCTAAATTCTCACAGAGGAGGACACGAATACTGCACCAGAAATTATGGGGAACACATTGTTTAATGAGAGGGAGGAACTGAAACAAATCTGTATTAGTAGAGAAATGGTACTGAAGACATTGATAGGATTGAAGACTGATAATCTACCTCCCGGAGTATTTAAGGAAGTGGCCCTAGAAATAGTGGATGCATTAGTGATCATCTTCCAAGGTTCTTTAGACTTTGGAACGAACTCCTACAGAGTAGAGGGTAGCTAATGCAGCCCCACTATTTAAAAAGGGAGGTAGAGAGAAAACAGGGATTTATAGGCCAGTGAGCCTGACTTTGGTAGTGGGGAAGGTGCTATAGTTTATTTTTAATGATTTTACAGCAGAGCACTTAGGAGACAGTAGTAAAACCAGACACAGCCAGAATGGATTTACAAAAGGGAAATCATGCTTGACAAATCTCCAGGAATTCTTTAAAGATGTAATTGGTAGAGTTGATCAGGGGAGTCAATGGATGTGGTTTACTTGGACTGTCAGAAGGCTTTTGACAAAGTCCCATAGAAGAGATTAATGTGTAAAGTTCAATTGTATGGGATTGGGGTATTGTATTGAGATGGATAGAAAATTGATTAGCAGATAAGAAATAGAAATGGACAGAAATAAATGGATCTTTTTCTGAATGACACGCAGTGACTATTGGGGTACTGCAGGGATCAGTATTGCTCAAATTATATGTAACTTATTTAGATAAGTGAAGTAAATGTAAAATTGCAAAATTTGCAGCTAACACAAAGTTGTATGGAAGCGTGAGCTATGAGGAGGATGCAGAAATGTTACAGTGTGGTTTGGACAGATTGAATAAGTGGGCAAATGTATGGCAGATACAGTATAATTGGATAAATGTGAAGTTATCCAATTTGGTAGCAAAAATAGGAAAGTAGATTATTAGTTGAATGGTTGTACATTGAGAGATGGGAATGTTCAGCAAGATCTGGGTGTCCTCATTAACTAGTCACTGAAAGTAAGCATGCAGGTGCAGAGCAGGCAGTAAAGAATGCAAGCTACAGTTGGCCTTCATAGCAACAGCATTCAAGTACAGAAACAAGGATATCTTGTTGCAATTATACAGGGCATTGGTGAAGTCACACCCAGAATATTGTGAGCAGTTTTAGTCTCCTTATCTGAGGAAGGATGTTCTTGTAATAGAGGGAGTGCAGCGAAGGTTTACCAAATTGATTCCTGGGATAGCAGGACTGATGTATGAGGAGAGATTGAGTCAGCTAGGATTTATTCACTGGAATTTAGACAAATAACAGGAGATTTCATAGAAACCCTTAAAATTCCAACTGGACTACATTGCTTAGATGACTAGATGGATTCTGATGGTGGGGAAGTCTGAAACTAGGGGCACAGTTTAAGAATAAGGGGTAAATCTATTTGGACTGAGAGGAGAAATTTCTTCAGCCAGAGAGTAGTGAGCAATGAAATTAACTACTGCAGAAAGTGGCTGAGGCTAAAATATTATGCATCTTCAAGAAGCAGGATAGCGGGCTCAAGGGATATGGGGAGGGGCAGGGTTAGGATTAGGAATTTAAACTTGATTATCTCCCATGATCATACTGAATGGCAGAGCAGGCTTGAGTAGGTGGCATATTTTTGGTAGTACAGACTCGATGGGCCAAAGAGTTTTCTTCTGTACTATATAATTTCTTGATTCTGTGGCCAAGATGAAGTGTGAAGAGTGCAGCATGATGGTTGGCATAGTTAAGCTGTAGTCCATAGCTCAGACAGTAATGTTGAGATATCAAATCAAATGACAAAGAAAGCCGAGGGAATACGTGCAAGCTCGATACTGTTGGGATCAACAGGGAGTGTCAGGAAGGAAAGAAAATGCAGCTTCGAGGGGACCCCTTGATTACCAAACTGAACTGAATGCAACCTGCATTGCCATCCATACTCATGCGAATCACAAATGTGCAATGGAAATGGAAAATGGCAGTACCACACCAGAAGATGAAGAAGTGTTCTCTCCTGTCTGAGCACTCAGGCTCTACTTCTGACTGATATGAGGCCCTTCAAGGGCAATTGCATTACTCAGGAACTTTTACAGTACAGGTCAAAGCCACATGTGATTGTATTGCCCAGTATGTGGTATGTATGCAGTGTCCAACTGTGCGGAATACAAATGTTGGTCACAAGCAATTTTGACCACATCACTGATCATTGCAGATTGAAGATAGTCATCTCTGAGAAGCAAATGTAATCACAGGCAACCTTAAAAGTTGCACCAGTGTGCTACAAAAAGTAATCCAAGATCTCACAGAGATAAAATACTACGGATGCTGGAAATCTGATCAAACACAGTGATTGCTGGAGAAACTCATCAGGTTTGGCAGCATCTGTGTGGAGAGAAACAGAATTAACATTTTGAGTCTACTAAGAAAAACTGAAGAAGAGTCATATTGGACTTGAAACATTAACTCTGTTTCTCTCTCCACTGTTACTGCCAGGTCTGAAGAGTTTCTCCAGTATTCTCTGTGTTTGCCCAAGATCGCATAGGCTCCACAAGGGCATGAATCTGATTTTCTCTCACCTTGAACCGTAATTGTTTACAATCCTAGTGATGTGAAGGGTATGGGGGCAAGTATCAATAATCATACAGCACTTATAATCTTCTACTGTACTTGTACAAAATGATTTGTACTGCAATTATCAAAATAAGCTCCCTATGTCAAAGACCTATGTAGAGGTATTTCATGGCCCTCCTGTTAGAGTCCTCCATGACCCACTGTACAGAAGGCTACGCTAAACCATAAAGGATCAGATGCCTTACAAGGATGGTTACCAGGAGACAAGGATTACACTCTGTAACCATGCCTGATGTCTCCATTATGCAAAACCTCTAGACCAAGGTGAGCATAGATAGACTGTGACGTATTTTTAATTAGGGCCACAGCGGAGCAGACAATAGGTCTGAAGATGAGATTCCAATGCTTGGATCTGTCTGGAGACAGTTGAGTGTTGGGGGGGGAGGAGGGGCGGAGGATGCCATGCCTTACAGTTCAGACAGTCTGTTACACAATCTAAGCATGCTGTGCTGAGCTGTGCAGAAGTGGAGCATGCAGAGACAAGACAAAATGGACTTGAAGAGCTAGGAACACTTAGTGAGACAAAGCAATGCAGCGCCGCCACATGCAGCAAGCCAGATTGGACTTAATTGGCAGTCACTTCAGTACATGTGATCTGGGTGTACTGATTACTCATTGACTGTAAATCTGTTGCTGCTCAATGGTAAGCTGCTCCCAGAAGCCAAGCTATCTTTTATTTGTGTTTTGTTCTTTGCTTTCGCTGTTGCTAAATAGAAGTGATGGTTTTCAACTGCTTGAAGAGTCCGGTACGTGTCCCACTTTGAACAGTGCTGTACTAGGCATTGGGGAAAGAGTAGCACTCCCTTATGGAGGCTTCTAAGATAGAATAATGTTATTATATGTAACCTATCTACCTTGATTCTTAAATGTCAATACATTGACAAACATGCACTTGTATCTGCAATGAAGTGTCTGCTGTGCCACCTATATGCCCTGAGAAATATTTCCTTTTCTTCCCACTGCACTGCATGCACGTTGAACAGCAACTCCTCGCTGACAGCTATGTTTAAAAAAAATAGTGCCAGTACCAGGAATCCTGGTAGGTGCCAGTGGGGACAAATATTGTGGTCTCTGGCAAAAGAGAAGGTTAAAAAAAAAGTGGAGAGCCACTGAAGTATGGTACATAGGTAAGTAGGCAAGTTTCAGAAAATAGTATGAGGAAAAAGAGAAAACAAACTCCAGGAAATTTGCCAAATTTGACAATTCGTGGTAAAATTCAACCCACAATCTCAACAACATTCAAACATTTTACTACCAAATGACTATTTGATTACTACTTAATGACTCACCAGTAACTTCGTGGATTATCATTACAGACAGAATTTATGTCAACTGGGATAAAGTTCGTGCTTCATAGTCTACAGACATCCACATCCCAAATTCACACTGAAAAAGTGACTTCCTGAAGAGCTAAAAGAAGTCTACTAACAACTATAATTATATCCCCACATGAAGCTTTGTCTGCAGAGGGGAGGGAAGGTCTCACTGAATGGAGTTTGCGCATTCACTTTTAAAAAACAAATATTACATCTTACTGTTGTTGCAGAGGGCTGTTTAGACCTGATGATAGGCTCTTCATAAATCGTTCTGTAGGTGGAAGAGGAGCCAATGATTCCTGGATTCACAAACTCTATTAGAGAGTAAAACTCTTGAAGATCATTTTGTATTGGAGTACCTAAATGGACAGAGGTATTAAGATGTACTAATTAAATGCGACATTACACAAACATAACTTATCATTGGTAGAGTAAACAAATAGAAGTAAATTATGAAACCTCCTTATTTATCTTTGCACATCAATGATCTAGTTTAGAAAACATGTGATTGAGACAAGCTGTAAAACTGCCAAAATAAAGAGTAGGCTGTTCTTGATAACAATTCAGGGTCACAAACAACCCTTCTGAAGCAGAAAATTTGAGATTACTAATGCCTATCGATCAGTACTCTCTTCTCTTTCAGTATAAAATGTTATTTTGTTTACATTGATATTCTTATGAATGTCTTGATGAGGGCAAGATGAAAAGGTCAGACAAAAGTGCTTCTTTTTGCAGCAATTTCAAGTTCTGCTCTACAAAATCACTATTACTATCAGTCTAATTCATGGAAACTATTATAGTTACAACCAACAGTAGGGCTTTGTTTCTAGAGGAAGGAAACAAAGACAGGTTGCAAGGTTGTTCTGTGTCTTCAGAAGCATGTAATTTGCTTCATTTGCATGACAACTAAACCTCCAAAGGCAGTGAGATCCTTCCTTCTACTCCAAAGCACAGCTATATACAACAGATACGAGTTTTAATCAACAAAAGTGCGTAGCTTTAAAGAGAAAAGCTATCGCTCAGATGTTTGATTTCTTTGAATATTACATTCGTAGAATCATAGAATCCCTACATTCGGCCCATCAACCCTCTGAATGCAACCCTCCCAGACTCACCTCCCTACCCTATCCCTGTAACCGTGCATTTCCAATGGCTAATCCACCTAGTCTGAGCATCCCTGGACACTATGGGCAATTTAGCATGGCCAAACAACCTAACCTGCACATTCTTGGACTGTGGGAGGAAACCCATGTAAGACACAGGGAGAATGTCTGTGTGGCGTTTGCACAGTCGCCTGAAGGTGGAATTGAACCTGGGTCCCTAGCGCTGTGGGGCAACAGTGCTAACCACTGAGCAACTTTGCATGCCCAATTGTGTAGTATTTTCCAGCTTTTTAATGATTTAAGAACAACTTACCGCTGAGAATCACTCTTCTGTCACAAGAGAGGCTAAGAATTGCTGTGGATGTCTTAATTGAACTATTTTTTAAACGGTGACCTTCATCACAAATTATCAGGTTAAATTCAAAGTTTTGAATTTGTTCTAGGCATCGCAGTAACATCTCATAGCTGATTATGAGGACAGAGTACAGCGGAGAATTGATGAAGTCTTCCACTTTGTGGTCCTTCAAAGTAAATAAAAAGTAAACAAATGGGCAAAGAAATCATCATTCAGGCAAGTTTTTACTTTGTAACATGACTGGGTGGATTTATAGCAGATCATTGTGTCTTTCTCAACACCAGATCATGGCTAATCTTCTATCATTTGTGTTCCTATGCAAAGCTGCTAATTTTAATGCCAATATATGAGAAAATAGAGGGTCTTTTAATGACACTTATCTCAGAAGTGGACTAATTCAAGTGCTAATTCAGGTATGGCACAAGATTCATTACAGATTGCCGACTTCTATTTCTTTTCCCTGCCCATGACCGTGCTATTTGCTGCAAACCTTATTGTGCCTTTGCTGTCTTGGCCTATTCAGTGCTCCAAACCCTGAGGTTTTCCAACAACTTGAAACTGCTCCCAAATCATCTGCTATCTTTTTAGACAGCCCATATTCCAGTTTGTTTTTAAGAGCTTTTCTTCAATCTTCTCTCCTCCTCATCCATCAAAAGTCTTTCGGCATCCCCTTCCTGTCCTAATGCACAGCCCCTCAATCAGTCACTGAGTGGCTACCAATGGTGAACATCCCACAGGGCATCTGGAAAAACCAATAGGGGGCTGCTGATTGGTCTTTGGGAGGCTTGGGAACGTTGTGCAGCTCCCAATTAATCCCTGACCTCAGCAACTAGTAAACAGTGCTTAGATCAGAGATAACCGGTGTTAAGGTAGGATTCTTATATTGAGTCCTTCCCACAAATTTATTAGGGACATTTTTGCTAAAGTTGGGAATCCATTGTGAATATTCCCACCTAATTCTCCCGCCATGACCACCATCATGCCAACTCTAATGTGATCAAATTAAATTTCAGTCAGTGTTTCAGTTTGTGTTTGCTCTACTCAAAATAAAAATATCCCCCTATTAAGTTATGTAATTTTCTACCACTACTTTTTTTGCAAATAATGAACAAGTGGCAAGAAAGATATTGTTTTACAATGTTCTGAAAACTTTGTTTCTGAAACCTGGGTGACCTGGCTGCATTTATTGCCATCCCAAGTTGTCTCGAGAAGGTGGTGGACCCTCTTCTTGAGCCATTGCAGGTCTTGTGCAAATTTCATTTCCTTTTGCAGCACTCATTTCTCACCTGCTTCTGAAGGCATTACAGTGAGATACATGTTACACATGTTGCAGCAGTTTGTTGCTTTGGAGAAGCAACAAGGAAAAGTCTATTTGTTGATGAAAAAGGAAAGTCTATTTGTTGTTATCAGAATATTTATGATGGTGTGTATATGGCATTTGGATTCATCACTTACAAACCAATTATTATTCTTGCTCTAGCTTTTTATTATTCATAATAGTTGTTATGATAGCAAATATGGATGACCAAATTTTAACTTCCATCAGCCAATTGTTACATCTGAGGCTTTTCATTGAATAAAATGGCTTTTAAAAGAGGGCAAATACTGACCTAAAATGGCTGCCATGAACACCTGACCACAGATTGAGCCACATGCAGGATAAACAAAACAGCCTGCATTGAAATTACCATTTGTTTACAAACATCAAATCAGACAACTGAATCAGCAACAATAAATTTGCATCAACTCCTTTAACTTATAAGTGTTTATACTAAGTATCAACAGTTTCCTGCAACTGTTCATCTTGGAAACACAATTGGATGTGACTTGGGAATATATCCATGAACCCCATTTCAATAGCTTTTTGAGCAGCAGACCAGAAGAAATGGAACAAGGGATTCATAATAGCAGAATCTGGAAAGCTTTCACTCTTTCTATCTCTCAGACTCCTCACAATCATCTTGAACGAAAGCACTCAATGAACAAACAAACCAGTGAAACAACCATTCACCGTGAATTCAGTAATATCTACTAACTTCACAACTGCTGCAGACAACAAAAATTTTTTAAAAATCGTAATCTCAGGTTAAAAATACAGCACCCTCAAGGACTCAAATGATGCTTAAACTGCGTATCCTTAGTCTTTCCTGTCTGTACCTGACACACCCTTCCTTTTTAAACTTATGACCTGCCTTTGTGCATTTCTGATGTTGCATTTCATTATTTTTCGAAGAGTTAATAGGCAGCATTGCTTCTAATTTTATCCAGCTACACAGGCTTCTGAGGTCCATGCACAGCAGCAACTTCCAGAACTGAATTAGCATGCCGATACTGATCGCCATGCGCACAAGAGTTGCACACTTTCAAGGGAATGCTGTTAAAATGTTGTGAAAATCTTATAATCAGTTCCTTCATTTTGATCTAGTTGCCTTTATTTTGACATGAGAAAGCTATGTCGAAAAAGAAATAAAAATACTTGTCCTGAGGTTAAAAAGGAACCTGAATCATCTGTTCTCACCTGATTGTAACGTAGTAATTCCATTACTACACCAAAATAGTAAGAAACAGTAACAGCGCTGTTAAATCACCTGATCAACTGCAAAAACTTTCAGCCTTTCCATTCCAAGCCATTTCTGGAATTCACTGACCCAGTTTTTTACAAGACTCCCTGGTGTGACGACAAGAGTCTTTTTGATTATAGGTTTGTTTCCATAAGGTCCTTGCCGCATCAGAGTCCAAATTAATGTGATGCACTGCAGAGTCTTCCCTAGACCCATTTCATCAGCCAAGATAGCACCAAACCTGCCAGTTGTTCTGGAAAGAATAGTTATATAGAGTAATCTCAAAGTATAATCAAACCATCCAAACTACATCAACTTCTAAGGCAAGTACAAACATTGAAAAGTAACAAAATGTGTCATATCTATGTTTATTTGCAAATATAAAACAGGTTTGGAAAGAGCCACTTAGGAACAGAAAATAATATTACCTACCACAGAGCTTTTCCTTCCTAAAATGGCTGGTACTCAATGGATTATGTGCAAGATTAGAAAATAAAGTCAGGAACTCTTGTACCAGAGATTTTGGGTGAATATTTGCCCCATTTGGTAGCACTATGTATGCACTGCATGCACAAAAACATGTAAATCTAAACCCCATAAATATCAATAGCTAGTGCAGAGTCCTCCTTAATTGCGGGTTTCAGAGTAACATGAATTAGAAATTGTGCAGCAGTTAGCCTAAAATGACACCTTCTACTTGTGACACTTGTCTGCAAATTACAGTAATACAATAGGTCATCACTCTTCTATACTTGCACAAAGCATATGCAACGGTTCAAATTTCAAGATTTGTTTTAGTGTAACTTTGAACTTTAACCTGACACATATTCCAGCTTTGGGCAGGGCACAAAATGTATGCCATGTATTTTTCTTAAAAAAATATTTATTGCAAGACAATTTTGTAGTCATATTCCTTACGTTGGTGGAATGATACACTCGTTTTAACAAACATAAGTTATATTTTAGAAATTTATTCATTTGAAACATACCAGATCAGAAATAAGACTTTAGATTTCACAAGTACTGTATGAGAAAAATGCCCTGCAAATTAGAAGTGTTATTGACTGTCAATGACTTGAAACAACCTAAATTCATTTTATCAACTAGTTTTAGACACAAATATCCCATATATACCCATTCCACAAAGTAGAAGACAGGCTTGCTTACCTCATTCCCATTATACACTCATATAAGAAGATCACACCATCGCATTGGTGAGGTCGCAGGTGTATGGCAAGGTAAGGGTCCACCACTACATCCACTAATGGGAGACCAGCTTTATTAAACAGCCACTGGTGACTAAGATTTGGTCGTGGCATTACTAAAGCATCTGTTGGTAAATAAACAACTGTACATTTAATGATTACTTTAAAGCTTTTGCAAAGGTTTCCATAACTTAGACACAAAAGTGTTGCATACTTTTGATGTACATTAGGCCCAGATTACAAAAACTGTAAACCATATTAAAAAATTCAGGATTTGGGGTGAGTTTCTACAGAAATGATTTCATTTCACAACCATTAACTGCAAACAAGTTACGAATGTGTTAGACCCATATACTGATTCAAGATCTTCAATTTGCTGATTTATGGGAAAGACCATGGCATGAAACTAACTGAATAGTTCTCTTAAAGAGACTGTACATTGGTGTATATTGGATGGAAACTAACTTGGCAGGAGGGTGGGACCCAGAGAGAAGGTTCAGCAGGGCTTGATGAATGACCAAAATTAGAAGAGACAGCAAGGGAGTCAGAAAGGTATAGAAATTATAAGCCAAGGGAGTTTAGCAAGGTTGGTTGGTATTATTTTCTGCGAGGCGTCTAACAAACAAGGCAGATGAATTGAAGGCAAAAATGAAAACGTGGAGATGTGACGTAATTGCAATTACTGAGACATGGTTGAGAGAGGACAAGATTGACAGCTTAATATTCCAGGCTTAGGGTCTTCAGCAAAACAGGAAAGAAGATAAATGATGAGAGGGTGTCACAACATTGAATCAATTGCATCAGTGAGTATGGATGACATCTTAGGAGGCTCCTCAAATGAAATCAGATAGGTAGAACTTAAAAACCAAAGAGGAGCAATCACATTGCTAGCAGAGAAGGATCCCAACGGTCCGAGAGAAATAGAACAGCAGATGTCAAGGCAAATTTCAGAGAACTGTAAAAGTAATACGGTCATGATAGTAGGGAAATCAACTTCCCAAACATTAATTGGGATGGTGTAGAAGGCCCTCTACGCAAGAAAGGGTGTGAACCGGACTTAATTTTAGGTAATGAAGCCAGGAAAGTGGTTGAAATATCAGTGTGGGAGTATTTTGCAGACAGCAAGCATGACTAGGGAAGATGATGGCCTAGTTGTATTGCTGCTAGAATATTAATCCAGAAACTCAGCAAATGTTCTGGGGAGAGATAGTAGGAACTGCCGATGCTGGAGAATCTGAGACTCCCTTGTCCGCTCAACGCTCCGCTCCAGCCCCACCACCCCCGGCACTTTTCCCTGCAACCGCAGCAAGTGCTACACCTGCCCCACACCTCCTCCCTCACCCCCATCCCAGGCCCTAAGAAGACCTTCCACATCAAACAGATGTTCACCTGCACATCTGCTAATGTGGTATACTGTATCCGCTGTTCCCGTTGTGGCCTCCTCTACATCGGGGAAACCAACTGGAGGCTTGGGGACCGCTTTGCGGAACACCTACGCTCGGTTCGCAACAAACAACTACACCTCCCAGTCGCAAACCATTTCAACTCCCCCTCCCACTCCCACTCCTTGGACGACATGTCCATCCTGGGCCTCCTGCATTGCCACAATGATGCCATCCGAAAGCTGCAGGAACAGCATCTCATATTTCGCTTGGGAACCCTGCAGCCCAAGGGTATCAATGTGGACTTCACAAGCTTCAAAACCTCCCCACCCCCGACCACATCCCAAAACCAGCCCAGCTCGTTCCCGCCTCCCTAACCATTCCTCCCACCTCATGCCCCACCCCCATCTCCTACCCACTAACCTCATCCCGCCTCCTTGACCTGTCCGTCCTCCCTGGACTGACCTATCCCCTCTCTAACTCACCACCTACATTCACCTTTACTGGCTCCAACCCCGCCTCTTTGACCTGTCTGTCTCCTCTCCACCTATCTTCTCCTCTATCCATCTTCTATCTGCCTCCCCCTCTCTCCCTATTTATTTCAGAATCCCCTTCCCCTCCCCCATTTCTGAAGAAGGGTCTCGACCCGAAACATCAGCTTTCCTTCTCCTCTGATGCTGCTTGGCCTGCTGTGTTCATCCAGCTCTACACCTTGTTATCTCAAATGTTCTGGGGACTCGGGGTTTGAATCTCACCACAGCAGGTGGTGGAATTTGAATTCAATTTTTCGAAAAAAAATCTTGAATTAAGAATGTACTGATGACCACGAAACCACTACTGATCATCAGAAAAATCCATCTGATTCACTAATGTCCTTCAGGGAAAGAAAACTGTTATTCACACCTGGTATGGCCTTTATGTGACTCCAGACCGACAGCAATGTGGTTGACTTTTGAATGCCCTCTGAAATGGCCTAGCAAGCCACTCAGTTCAAGAGGAGCTGGGGCAGGCAATAAAGGCTGGCCAGCCAATGACACTCATATCCCATGAGTAAATGAAAAAACAATTCCGTTAGATTCAAGATTGTTGCAGAAAACAACAAGCATGGGCCTGAAATTAAAGTTCTAAATTGGGGAGTGGCCAATTTTAATAAGATCAGGTATGATTTGGCCAGAGTGGACTGGGGGCATTTACTTTTAAGTAAATCTGTGTCAGAGCAGTCAGACACATTCAAAAAAGCAATAGGGAAAGTACAGGGCCAACATGTTCCAATAAAGACAACGGTGGGATGAACAAATCCTCTGAACCCTGTATATCAAAACACACACAGGATTGGATAAAAAGTGAGGCTTATAGTAGATACCAAGGGCTCAAAAACCCAACAGGAGTACAGAATGTGCAAAGGGAAGCTTATAAAGAAAATTAAGTGAGCATAAAGAAGACAATAAAGAAAGACAGGTAAAATAAAGGGAAATCCAAAGTTATTTTATAAATGCATTAAGGATAAAAGGATAATCAGAAAAGGGCAGGGGCCTACTAAGGATAACAGTGGCAATTTGTGCACAAAGCCAGAGGACGCAAGTAGGATTCTAAATTAATACTTTGTGCCAGTGTTCACTAGTAACAGGGAGTTAATAGGTATTGGAATCAGGGAGAAGGACTGTAATATTCTTAAAGAAATTAACATAGACAGAGACAACAAGGTGCAGGGCTGGATGAACACAGCAGGCCAAGCAGCA